AAAAAAAAAAAAAAAAAGATCTAGAGCTCTCAGCTCCTTCTCCAGCATCATGTCTTCTTGCACACAGAGCATTCTTATCTTCCCAAGCTCCTACCAAAATGGCCTATTAAACTCTACTTAAGGTATTCATGGTACTTAAGAAATTTCAGCCAATAATCCCAAACTTTTCCTACACTCTACTTTCAAAGACCTAAGAGCCACATGATGAGATTTAGTGCAGCAGTGACCCCACTTTAATTCCAGTTTTTTGTATGTTCCCTTTATATTACTACTGTTACTGTGGTCAAATACCCAACAAATGCAATTTAAAGGAGAAAGGGTTTACTTTGGTTCCCAGTTTGAGGACACCTCCATCCTGGTGGGGAAGACACGGCAGCAGGAGACTGTGGCATCTAGTCACTGAGTATCGCTAATGCTCATGCTCAGCTGAGTGACGCTTCCTACCTCAGTTAAGCTAACCCTCACAGCCATGCACAGAGGCTTGTTTCTTTGATGATTTTAGATATTGACAGTCAATATTAGCTATTTATTATATGAGGCAGTAATGTCATGGTGGTTGTACATGGTGCCACCACCTGTTTTCTGACTGGGAAGTGAATAAAAGAGGAAGAGGAAGGAGCTCGTGTCCCCATCCACTTAAAGGACTTCCTTCAATGATCAGAAGATTTCTCATTAGGTCTCACCTCTAAAAGTCCCATAACTTCAGTTGTAGAGCATTTGCCTAGCATGTACTCGACCCTGGGTTCCAAACTCTTATCACAGTAAAAAAAAAATTGGTCAAGCTTTTAACACATAGACCTTTGAGAGACATTTAAGTTCTAGACTATAGTAATCAAATGCCTGTAGGGAGCACAGTTGGCCCTGCTTGGCGATCACTAGTCTACGTGCAAGCACAGTAAATACACTTGAGTTCTGCATTAAAGCTTGGTGGCTGATAGTTCATAATTGGTGGTCTAGCATTTGTTGTGAATATGCTGATCTCTGATCTGCTGGTAGTTTGCTTGAGGCCAGATAAAGTAAAATAAAACTCCTATGTTTGCTGTTTGATAGATTTTTGACCAGTGTACATGTAAAGAAATATTTTTCTCTTTCTTTATGGGTCCTTCAACAGACTAGTTCATTTGCCTGATGGTTTGAGTTCTATAGGTAGCAGGTGAGAACAAATCCCATTGTGCAAATGCTTTTTGAGTCTCAGTTATATCTCATTTTCTAATGTTTCATTGGCCATATCCAATGAGCATTGCCAAGCCAGAATTCTCAAGGAGTAGAGATAGATTTCATCTCTTGATGTGAGGAATAGCAAAGCCACATTGTGAAGAATTACAGATAAAGAATAGGAGGAATTACTGTGGCCAGTTTTGCTCACAATTTACTGATTTTTTTTTCTATGCCTTACAGCCCTTTCATTCCAGTTATTATTCCCATATATAATCTTTCTTGTTGTGATTTCATTGTTTTTGAAATAATTCATGGTTATTTAATTTTACCCATGGTTCTTCTTTGTAGTGCTTTTTTTATTTCTTTCCTGTTACCATGCTTCCATCTGGAATTTTCTTAATAGAAGCTTTTTTTATTTTGCCTTAATTATTTTTTTTTGTTGTTGTTGTTTTGTTTTTCAA